GTCAATTTATCATGCCTGATATTTTGCACATCTTAGTGAGTTGTGCATAACTGCCTTCTTCCTCATATAACATCTGCTTAACCACAGTGCAGGAAATATTCACCATTTGCATGGTCCAGGCTGACTCCATGCCAAAAGAGGCAAGAAGATTTTATTAATTCATTTATTTACCTATGTATTATTTTTAATTAACATTTTTTATATCTGCTTGCATCTGTCAGGCTTTGAGGAGATGCAGCAAATTATCATTACAGAAATCTGGGAAGGCAGGAAATTGGAACAGTGGAGCTTCTTCCATCAACCATGCAGTCATACTTGCAGCTTTGTATTAGAATAGGTATCAGGATTGAAGATAAGTAAAGATTTACTGCAGTCTACTGTTTGACCTCCTATGTATTGGATGGATTAAGCATTATTTTTTCAGTGCTCTGTCTTGTATTTTTACATGATTTGTTGCCTAAAAAATAGTATCTTTAGGGAAATTTTTTGTTGGTTTAGGGAGAAGGGTTACTGTTTGTTGTGTTTAGTTTTGGTTTTAACTTAAAGTTGGAGTAATAGGTAGGTGGACAATGTCACAAATATTAAGAAGTTGATCCAGAAGTTCAGAGTCCATTTTTTTTAGGATGATCCTCTCAATATTTGTCTTTAGAGGTAGTCATCTAGAAGGAATGTAAACCTCTGGCTATGTCAGAAGCAACATTAATTGGATTAAGTCTTCTTGAGTGAAGTTGAAGGCTGTCATACTGTAGTTGGGAGAGCAGAAAAATGCAATTTGAGGATAAAACAGATTGCTTTAAGTAACAGTGAGCATGTGTGGAACTTAGTGGTGCTTCTCATTTAAAAGAAATAAACACTGAATACTGCTTAAGCTCAGCCTCAGAAATGCTCCTTTGAGCACTCTCACAGTGAATAAAATTTCCACAACCAAAGGAAACCATTGCAGCAAAAAGTAGTTTTCAGTCCCAGCTAATGATTCCATAGCCCAGCTACATGTTTGTGCAGTCCATTCAGATTGTGGGGATTGAAATGGAGAACAAGCTGTATAATGGTTACTTCAAGCCTTCTCATCTCCAGAACCAAGACCTGCAACTGTGGAGATGCATGAAGCTCAGTTTGACTTTCAGTCCAAAGCCTGAGCACAGAGGTGTGTCAGCCACTGCCAGAAGGTGAGCAGGAGATGATAGAGAACAGCAAATCTTACATTTTACTGCACTCTCACATTTACACATGGAAGTGTATTTCCATGGAAAAACTTCAGGCGTCTGCATTTTCTCTGAAAATAGTTTTCAGAGCCAGAGAGCCAGTTTCTTCAACTGCAGACAATGTGGTGAGCTTATGACTAGTTGCTAAATAACAATGAGGTATTTTTAAGGTTAACTGTTTTGAAGTGTGGCATTCTCTCTCTCATTGTGGCCCTGTCTGTAGCAAACCAGTGGCAAAGGCATCTCTGTAAATAACAGCTACAATTCTGCAAGAATAATGGGTTTTATGTTTTTAACATTCTGTATTTACTATGTTTGGTGTTTTGTTGTCAGCATTTAGTTTTGGATCCTTGCTGAGCAGCAGGCACTGGTTTGGCATCAGAGCCATAAGCACTGTGAGCTGGGTGCTGCAGAGTTCTGCAGGACTGCCAGTGTTCACAGCCTGGCTGCTCAGTCTTCCTGCAAAAAAAGTGGAAAAAGGGAAACCTGCAGGAGCAGAGAGGCCTTGTGCCTCTTCACCCTTGCCCTAGGGAGAAGTGTTCATTTTTCTTAGGGAGGCTCCCATGCTGAGGTCACTCAGCCCAGACATGTGCTCTGCAAAAAGTATGGAGTAGGGGAGTGCTTTGCTTGACCACTGGACCACTGATTGAACTTTTTTTTTTTTTTTTTTTTTTTCTTGTTAGCCATAGTTTAATTTCATATTTCAGTGCAAAAATTCAGAGGGAAATTTAAAGGACAAAATTTCATTGGTGTGATGAAGGGAACCTGACAAGACATAAGCATGAAATTGGTGAAGTGCTTGCTCAAGTGGGCACTTCAAATAGTTTTTGCTGAATTGAGCATACCATGGGGTATATCAGGTTAGTTGGTGGAGGCTCTCCAACTTTTCCATCTTTTTAGATGATGTTCTGTGTCATGCTGAAGCATCTTTAAAATTTCATTAGCAGCTCAAAGTTAAAGGGGTTGAGACTGCTGTGGACTGGGAATGCATTCAAATGTAGAACAGGAGCAGTCAGATCTGCTTATGCACCTTTGAGGACTCTACAGCATTCTTTTTTTAAGACTACATTAGAAAAGAATTTATTTTTCTGTTATGGCAGAGTCACTCTTCAGCTTGACTTTTTTGCTGCAGTGTGTCGCATTTATGTTTGAAGCACTGGTCTGGTAAGCAACAGCACAACCTGAAGAATTTGCTGGAAGGTCCCTAAGTCCATTTGATCTCCCTTATTCAGATGCAAGCCTGGTTCAGTTTGGAAGTCTTATAGTGGAGGACTAAAGTGAACATCATAAACCTTATTGTGAGCAGACAGATCAGGTCTTTCAGAGCTCTTGTGCCTTGAGTGCTTTCATCTAGGTTTGCTGGATTCAAACTAACTTCAGCCTTTCAAGCAGCGCACTTTGTGTGTAAATGGGTAATTCAGATTTTGTCTCTATACAACTGACCAAAGGAATGTTTGAAGTCTGAGGGACAGAGTAAATTCTCACAAAACAGAGAAGCTTCAGCTGTTTTAATCTTTCAGTTGAACATGAATTGATGTGGCAGTGGCCCATGATGGAGTGCTTTACCTTGTGGCCTCCTCTGTATGTCTTTAAAAGGGCAGAGAATATTGCTGGGGGAAAAGGGGAACAAGAGGTATTTTAGTATGCAGCTTGCCTTGCTTTCCTGTTCTCTTGGGCTCTGCTACTGCTGCCTTAGAAGAAGTTGCTTTGTCCGCTGAAGACAATGAACTGTGACCAAACAACAACAGTATCCAGTGACATGTGGACACTCAGCATGAGCTGCTGATGCTTAAACAGGACATTAGAAAGTGTCCAAGGAGGCACCTAGGGCATCTTCCCTTTCTTGGGTTCTGCAACTATTCAGACTGTCTTAGGCTAGAGGCACTTTCCAACATTAGATTTGGGACTGTTACCTAGGACAAATTTGAGACAGCGCTTCATCAACCACCACTTTGTGAATTCAGTTTGAATAAAACTCAATAACCACACACTAAGAAAGGTGTCCTTCTCTTCCATGATGTCCTGTGCAGACAGAAAGAACATTTTGCCCAAGTTCCCAAATGCAAAGATGTTTTGGACACTGGGCTAAACTGTGAATAGGTGTGATTAACTGCTCATAACATTTTCCCTTTATTTGCATTTCCTCATCAGTGGGCTTCAGTGGGACCCACAGAGAGGCATAAAGAAGTATGTACTGTAGATTGAAATCCATCATTCATATTAGAGTGCTTGTTGCAAGAGAATTGGTTTGAGAGTTCACCTTTGGAGGGATCTTGCTTGGACATATCTGCACTGTATGAAAAGTATTTCTCACATACATTCTGTCCAAGTACTCTGTGTTCACAGTGTCTTCAAAGTGCCAGCATGAAAACAGTGTGCCATGTTAGTACAGTGCCCAAACCCTTGAAGGGTTTGCTATTTCTCTCATATCAGTTTAATAAATCAATTTCTTGCATGCTATGGGACTACAGTGTAAAATAGAGGTTCTATTCAGCTGAAGTATTGCACTTTAAATCTCATTGATGTTCTTACACTCTCCTCAAATTGGCAGAGGGTTATTTATTTACAAGTATTTAGAACTGTCTTTCTAAATACTTGTAAAAGTAGTTTTGAAGATAAAGGTTTGGATTAACCTTTAACATAGGAACATTTTCAGTTTTGTAACCATTCCAGTAATGTTTGAAAGCACTCCATTGCCAATTAACTGGAAGCTAATAGTTTTGCCAGTGCAGAGAAAGTTGTAAGTGCTGTAAAATGTGTCACTGAAGATGATTCATGTTGCAGCATTGCTTCACACTAAGGTAGCTAAATCTCATCCTGCTATAAACATTATGATTATTACTTCTCTGGTGTTTATATTAAGCATGTTTGTGTAGTCAGTCCAACCCTTCGGAAAAAAAAACAAACGAGGAATTCTTCTAAGAATTTATACTGCACAAGGTTATAATTTTATTTCCTTAGACTTCCAGTAGTTCTTTCATAAGTGAGTAATGGGTCCAAGAGATGGGAAGTTACTCTGTCTTCTTTTCTTGAAGACTGGAGAAAGACAGAGGTGAGGATGATTCTGTATTAAATCTCTTGGTGTTTTCTCTTATTTTCCATGGAATCCTGTTCTTAACTTCTAGTTTGCCTCTATCTGAAAAGAAAAACCAGAGGCTCAGCAATTATTCTGAATGCATTTGGGAAAATGTAGATCATTTTTAGCAAGGGATGCATGGGAAGTAGATGTAAATTATGGATATATATCTGTATCCAGCATATCAGTCTGTCCTAAATGCACTCCCTAAAACCAAATGTGGAGTGCTGCAATCTGCCGAGTGAATTTCCAGCTCATTGTGAATGACACTTTTATTTCTAAAGAGTCTGTTTGACATGCAGTACTCCCAAGTCACCTGTTGAAGTCTTAATAAAATTTTTTATTATCTTTTTCCTGGTGTCTAATAAGAGATGAACTTTCCTGCAACAGATGGGTAAATTGTCCTCTCTCCTCCAATGTCCTGCTAGTTTTCATTAAACTTTTAAAAACTTAATATCCTCGAAAATGTGGGAGGATTTTCTTCCCCTGTTTAGATAAAATTAGCAAGTATTTTCAGAGAGCTAATGAGAGGCCAGGAAAAGCAGGCAAATGAGCACAATGCTTGATAACAGAAGTTGTAGAAAACCAGACCAAAATTTTGCTTCAACTTCTGTTAATTTAACCAGGGTGTGGTGGTTTGGTGGTGAAATAAGAAATCACGTGTTGAACTGTAAAATATGTAAACCTGGTATCCTAGAGTTAATCTCTTGTGCCTTTTGCAGGTGGAGATTTACATTTTACCTTTATATATTTACCTATGGAGTTCGGTTCCTGAAAAAGGTAGGCACTTATATTATTATGCTTTCATAACCTATCGCAGACTTGAAGTCTTGTACAGGTACAATATAAAGCTCAGGAATAAAGTCAATGTTCACAAGGAGTGAAAATTAAAATTTAATTTGCATTCATAAAATGCTTTGCTACTAGCATTGTTAAGGAATATAAGTTCTTATCAATATTTAATGGGGTTTTAAAAGAAAAAAAAAAGGCATAGCAACATGCCTAGTTCACTTGATTACTTTTCATTATAGGTATTAAACTGGCAGTAAGGCTTACCAAAGTATTAATCTCAATTTGACTATCATCCTTGCTTAAATGCCTCTGACAGAGGTTACTTTTTATTAACAAACAAATTGCATTAGTTTTAGAAAAAAATAAAACTTTTTTGCCTATTCTTTTTCTAATGTACTGTGGAAGGAGGTTTCTGTAGAGTTTCCCATCAGTGGTGTGTTTCACCTGATTTAAAAAGAGAAAGAAAGCTTCTAAGCGCTCTGACATAGGTCTGTTAACCCTGCAGTAGAGAGTAATATGGATTTGTGCAAACTGTTTTTACAGTGTGACTAGTTCTCAGAGTTTCTGTGCAAGTTGGGCCATATTTCTGTAATTCTGGGAGGTGAAATTAGGGGAATGGGGCACTCAATGTGTTCATGTAATCTTTGTTTTGGTCAAAAATTTGACGCAAGAATATGTACCCTGAATGTCTCTGGGTGAGAGACCGATTCTGTATCCTGAATGTGCTTTGTAAGTAAAAGAGGTTTAATGTTCTTTTTTTATGTCTGTAGTTCTTGAGGCTGTCTCAGGTGCAAGGCAGCTTGGTGTGAGCAGGAATGATGATGTGCCTGTGCAGGGAGGGCACACCAGAGCTATTGAGCAGTACTCAGCCCCAGGAGAAGTGTGGCACAGGGCAGCATCAGTTGCATTCTCCCTCTGTCTCCTTGAACACTTCCATTTTGTGTGTACTTCATCCATTAACATGCTGTATGGTCACTTGATCCATAGCACTGTGTGTTTCAGAACATGCCCTGCAGTGGGATGCTAATGTACAGAGGGGATGAAAAAGGTCATAATCAGGATTTGACTCACTTGTGTAATTTCTGATACTTTATGAGAAGAGGGAATCAGTGCAATTGTAGATTAAGTGTTCAAGTTGTCCACCTTCTACCTCAAATACTATTTTCAAGAGCAGATTTGATAATGAGTGTCCTTCTATGTGAGGAAATGGACCAAGATACCAACTTTGAAAGAGAAGATGATACTTTCTTTGTTACTAGCTGCCAGCTCCAGTCTTCCCTGTTTTTAGATCAGGTTTAAATTATTTGTGGCTGCAGAGTGGGTGAGTGGCCCACAAAATCATTTAATGGCAAGCATTCACCTTTCCATCTAATCCTCATTGCCCCCATTCTTGGTAAAATGGCAAATGCTAGATGTGGCCATCCCCACCTTAGTTTTCAGACTTCTGAATGAGATGTTTTAGCACTGAAGGACTAAAGCTAGCATACACTACAGCATTCTTTGTGTATTTATAAATCACCAATATTTGAAGCATAAAAGATAAGTAACCAATTATATTTCTTTGATCATGTATATGCAAATTCTTTCCTTTCTGAATGAAACTGAGATTTTTCAGCTCTACCATTTGTTTCATTTGCATGTCTACAAAACACTTCTTTGCAGAGTACCACACCAATAGTCATGTCAACAAAACATTAAGTTCCAGTGTGTGCCAGTGGCATTAAACTGGCTGCTTTGCTTATCATTAACACAGGAATGAGATAATGTTTTTGTTTTCCTCAGTAATACTTGTAGTTAAATAAATGGTGGCTTTGCTCATTAAGAATTAATGGTATGACTGTGCTCCAATTAAATGGAAAAAATATCATTATCTTTGGTGATAAAGAAACAGAGCAAAGAGTTCAGGATTTGCTTGTTTCTTGCTTGCTCACCCTTGGTGCTAAGCAGTGCCTGTATAATGCTGTAAAATGGAAAAACAAGCATGTGGAAGCAAAGCTTCCAGGTGACATATATAGACTTTTCACATTTAATTTCCTTTCTTTAATTGCCCATGAGAATTACAAACTCACAGAAGAGGATTAATTTTCTGTGAGTTTTCTGAAGTCTGTACTGAGACTTGGAAACCTGAAGTTGCATGTAGGTATTCTATTGGGAAAAGAATCATCAGCCTGGATAAACAAATCTTGCTATTTTTCAAATTCAGTGTTGAAGTGAGGCAGATGATACAAGTATGCTGTGGCTATATTTAAAAAATGTTGGGTGCAACAAGCTTCTGTGGGTATGCAGCTGATGGAGTGTCCTTCCTAATGAATCATCCCCTACAGGAGGACTGAGAACTGTCTGGTGGGTAGTTACAATTTCTGGCTTGCTAAAGAACAGGGAAAGCCATGTTGAAGTGTAAATTTGACTCCAAAAGGCCACTCAGGGGACATAAATTTATGGAAGGCAAATAAAAAATAGCAGGGTAGTATGAAGGAAAAAAACCCAACAGGTAGAGCTCCGCTTCTTCTGTTACGAAATTTCCCCTTTCTTGAAACTGTAGGATGTTTCAGATGAAGAAACTGAAGTGCTTATCCTCATGTGTGCACTAACCACGGAGCCAGTGAGCTTGTGTGTGACAGCAGGACATGTTCTGGTAGTGGCCCACAGTTTCTGTGTGCGCATTGAGAGAAACTGGCTTCATGCTTGTTTGTGAGAGTCAATGTTGTATTCCTGTTGCTCGGTTGAGTTGACGGATTCTTTTGCCTCTTTTTGGAATAAAATAGCAGCAGCGATACATGCACATGCTACAGCCCAGAGAGAGTACTGTAGAATTTGTAAATGCCATTTCAGATTGCTTGTACTCCAGAATTTTAGAGCCTAAAGTCAGACCACCTTCATTAGAAATACATGAAAAGAACTTGTCAATAAAGTGGTGGCTGGTTATTGACATTGTTTCTGTATTACAGTTCACCTACTATTCAAATTGTTAACTTTAGATGAAGAAAATAATGGCTGTTGTGCACAGCCACTTCATAAAATTCAATTGCTATACCAAAAAATATACTGGTGCTCTAGACAGTTTTCAGTCTTCGTAGCAGTAGGACAGACTTGATTTTGTCATAAAATTTCCTCAGCTATTGAAAGCTATTTGCAGAACACATTGCATGTTTTATCATTTGGAGCAGAAAAAATTACCTGCATCAGAATATTCAATATTTCATTTATTGTTTCTATCTTTTGTTGCCCTACCTGCTGCATCTACTTTTTCATGAAAACAATGCTGCTGCATATTTTGTGGAATAGAACAATAAAAGAAATGCAGCATCTTGGAAAAATGCATACCACTGTTTGGATTATGTCTGATTGTCTGATTCATAGAATAAGACTCCTTAAAGCAGGTTGGTTTTTTTCTGGTTTTAGTGCTGAAATACCAAAGTATGAGTTTGGAAAATATCTACCACCTTGGTTTAAATCGGAGCTGACTCTAGCAAACACCACTGTGGCAAAATCTGGGAGGGAGGGAGTTTGCCTCCAGAGCTCTTGGTATCTCTTTCACTCTTGAATCAATTCAGCAGGCCTTCTGCTGGGCACATTTTCTGCTCTAGTCTGCTTCGGCTGTGATGCTTCCTTCCCACGTTCTTCCCGAAAGGTTGTTATGTTATCTGTTACTGGAGCCTTGTAATTCCTTTTGTTCAGAGAGCTTATTTGCCCAATGCTGGATAAATATTCTCATTTAAATGAAGAATGCCAGAGGCCACTGTGGAGCCCTTTTAACACAATGCTGATATTTGATATTTTACTGTGCTATTAGCAGAGGGATAATGTGATACATAGGCCACTAAGGGAGGAAATGAAGCCCGCATTTGGTGATTGTGCTTGCTTTAAAATTGATTTGGATTCTCTGGAGGGTTTGATTCCTTTTTTATTTTTTACTCATAAAACCAATTGTTGAATTTCTGTAAGTCATGAAAATTTTTAAACTAAAATAATTTTAGATGTCAAAATTGAATTATAACCTTTTTCCTTTCTGTGGAAGCAGGGCTGAACATTAGGTGATAAATAAAACAATTTCTAATTCCCTGAGTGAGCAAGAAAGTATACCCGTGCTCTGGAGTCTTTTGAAGAATGCCATTGTGAGAAAGAGGAAATACCATATTACATTTTTAAATAAGCATCACAAGTGGAAAAGGTTTCCAGGAAGACCATAGTTAGATGCTATCTCATGGAAAAGGAATTTGTTTCAGATTTATTTTCAGAAAGGCATAAAAAGTGTTGAGGGCATTTAGGAGAGATTATAGAGTGTTTTAGATGCCTGAGATCTAAATCATGAGTCATGCTGTGAGAAAGATCAAAGCTACTGAAGAAATTTAGTTTTAAATGACTGCAGCACCTCAGTGTACATCAACAAGGAGAATGAATGCATTTTGGACAATGAGGCTTTGTAAGAGAAGGCGAGTCAGTATAGGAAGTAATTCACTGTTTAAGCTGTTGGAAGTTAAGATAATAACTGCATCAGGCAAAAGAGGACAAAGCTAGGCAAGTTGGCAGAGTTTATTTCTGGCTGAAAGGAAACTGAAAGGTTTTGAAAGAAAAAGCAAAAGGAGAATATCAATGGTATCCTAATTCAATAATAGGATGACAACAGGACTTTCAAATGTATACAACAGGGACAAATTTTACATAATCATGGGAAGGAAAAGCAACACACTAATTCAGAAAATGCATCTAGAATTCAATTTCACTTTATCTGTTTTGAATCCAGCTGGGGGTATTTAATAACATCAGAGTAGTAAGTAAATGCTATGTAATCATCGAATTGGCAAGTTAAGCTAGTACTGAGCCATGTTCAGCATCTCTGCTGCTTGTGCATTGCGCTGTCTTTTGGGGCAGTGAAGGAGGGGCTGCCACACCTCATATCCCCCTGTGGACTGGTTGCTAATTTTGCCTTCAGCACAGTCAGTATTCATTTTCTTGGCAGCCCAGCTTTCTGAAAGACTGAAATTTTT